CACACCAAACACCTTCCAAACGCCACAAAACACACAAGCCTCACCGAACGTCTCCTTGCTACCGCGATCTTGCCCACAGGAAGCCACGACCCCGTGGCAGCAGGGAAAATGGCCGCGGATCCGGTTTGTAACTCGAGGCGGAGTTCACAAGTCGAGGTAATTTTTGGGGCCGGAGCTGGTCGTATCTCGAAAAATTCGTAAGCAAGGGCGTTCGTAACTCGAGGTACCATTGTATTTGGTTAACTGTGCCTATCCAGTAGAATTGCTATTAGCTAGTACAGCATCAATAATATAAGTGTTGGAATACTAGGGTTCAATTCTTCACCAAAAGGGTTTTAGTATGAATTTGGGCCCCAAGTCACCATCTCTCAGACTAATTTAGAATATAGGATTGTAATAAATATGGACCACTAACAGCAGCTAGGCTGCCTTAGAAAATGACAAAACCATGCATAACCACCTGTAAATATTTGAACAACAAAATTATTACTACCCTGCACCTTCTTTTCAAGAAAGGATAGCTATTACAGATGTGATTTGTCCCCTCAGCTTTAAGTAAATATTCTCTCATTACATATTTAATAATTTGCTCTTTGGTTGAAAAAAAAAAAGATCACATTATACATCACCTTTCTCTGGGCAGATGGAAAATCCTATTCCTTTATCTGTGACTACAGGCTTCCAGGTAAATTCTGCAGAGTAGTTTTTTCGATTATATAGAGTGACTGTTGTTCTAAATCCAGTTTTTGCTAGGAAGCTAAAAGCAGGATTTAAAATCAATTCCCTTGTAGATAGCTCCAGGGCAACAGGCACAATTTTTGCTATCACTAAAATATGTCCAACATGGTGCTGGTTTATTGAATATATAAAAGACCTGTAATCCAAAAACAAAAGATTTTCTTCATCAGATGCTTCATTTCAATATCATATTCAATATAGAAGTTCCTATTGCTACCAAAGAAACTCAGTAGACACATCCATGTAGTCATAGGGAGTTGAATTTGACTTGAAGGAGTCTTTACCTTTATTCAAATTCTCTTTGAATTATTGTACATTAGGTATTGTAATTTATCTCTAAGAAGAGAGGTTTCTTTCCCCCAAAATTTTTACTTGTGAATTGGGAGAGAGTTTTACATCAGCCAATTACAAACTGTTCGAAACAAAAGAATTAGCCTGAGGCATCAATGGGTGCAGAAACTTTTCAGATTAGCTATCGCTTGGGAGGAGCAACAGTTCTTTCCTTATTCCCTCTTTACTTCATCACATCTCTAGCCAGTTTGGACCCCGTTTTCTCTTTCTTTCCTTTCCCCACTGCAGTTACCTCCCTCTCTTGCCTCACTTCTGCCTTCTTTTGTTGTTGTTTCTGCTAGAAGCAGGGAGGGGGATGTATGAGTGTTTCTATGTAGATGAATGAGTTGTGCCTGAGAGAAAGAATGGTTACTTTTAGCTTATGTAGATGAAAATCAATTAATTTTGAAAGTGGGATATCTTATTTTAAAGGCAATTAATTTAAATTAGTAGTTATTTATTCTATTAAATATACATTTATTTCTTATCTTGACTTCGCATTTGACTTTTTGGCAAGTATACATGCCCACCTACATATTTGCACCCATATACATTTTTGGTGTGGGGAAGAAACTTCAAGAGTGGTTTCACCTGGAGTTGGCAACTTTATTTTGACAAGGTTTGGGAAACTTTGGGAAGTTGCTCATTGCAAAGAATTGTTCCCTCTCTCTCTCTCTGACAGGGTGCCATATAATGACTTAAATTTTGGGTTGTCTTCCTTTTTGGCAAACATGGTACTTACTCCATCTTGAAAAATTTTGGCAATTTCTGACATTTGTAAGGCATTTTTTTTTCTTACACAGATCTACAGTGGAACCTCGGTTTACGAACTTAATTCGTTCCGTGACTCTGGTCGCACCCCGAATTTGTCGCAACCTGAAGAAATTTTTCCCATAAGGTTCAATGTAATTACCGTTAATCCGTTCTGGCGTGGAGGACAGGGAGTCAGCTATTGCTTGGAGGGAGAGTCCCCCTCCCTACGACCACGTGTCAGGGGCGGAAAATGGCCGCAGGGGGGGGAAATGGCCGCGGACCATGTGTCAGGGGCGGAAAATGGCCGCAGGGGGGGGAAATGGCCGCGGA